CCTAAAAAATAATCTAGCATGAGCTCATGTTTCCAGTTATTAGTAATCACTCTTGGAGATCTCTTTCAGATTTATGAACTTAAAAAAAAAAAAAAAAAATTATTTGAGGACTTTATAAAACCCCATACTGACTGAGTCTAACAAAATTTGTATCAATATAATCCTTTTGAAAATAATTCTACATACATTGACAGCAACTTTGTTTTATCCAATTCACTGTCAATTTATGGAAAATCACATTCTATTTACTAAATCTTTCATAGTTCGTGCATCTAACTGCACTGCAATATCTTGCAAGTTATATTTAAAAGTAGACCCAATTTTACTATTATTAACTGTGTGTGAAAAAAGAGAATCTGTGAGCTGTGATTTAATTTTCAAGCCACCTAAGTAATCTTGAAATGGGATGTGACTGCACTGCTCTGACAATAAATTCAATGGCAATGAATGAAAAAGCGTCCTTCAGCATTTGTTACGGCAACATGATTTAATAGTCTACTTCCTTTAAAAAAATTCCATTATAAGTATAAACAGCAAATATCTATATTTACACTTCTGTTTAATTGACTAATACATTTTACCTATATAAAAATTGTGCATAAAGTGGTTAAGTTAGCAGTAGTGATTTGTATCATGATCAATGATTAGTTTATAATACAGATATATGTACATATTTATGTAAACCACTGCCATATGCATAAATATATACTGCAGGAGGTAATGGGTAACGGTGCATTACGCTTTTTATGACAGTTAATAGAGTATCATCATTCACCATTTGATATAACTTAAAAAAGTGGAAGATTAACAGTATTGAGAGAATATGTAGATTATTTTTAAAAATCTAATAAAAAATATCAGTGGTCAAAATCTTTCTTTCCTTGACTAAATGCAAATCTTAGCATGAATGCAAGGACTTACAAGTAACAGCTATGGAGCCACGTTCCTCAATAAACAATACACTGAGACTGTATGTGTGCACATGTATGTCTGCGTGTATGCACATGTGAAATAGAGCAGACTAACAGCATACTAGATTTACTGCTGGGTGCACAGAGTTAACACCAATTCCACGTAGCACAGGCTCACGGAGACTAAAGTACGCTGTTCCCTGCTAATTTCAGCACATTTGAAATATGAACTACTTGACTGCAAAGGCTCCCCACCTTCCTGTGCAAGGCACTGTTTAAAGCATCCCTCTAAACGTGGAGAGGTAAGTCAGGTGGGCAAATGTCATTTTCCAAGAGAAATTTTTTTGCAATGCATCTGCTGGTTTGCAAAACTTTCTTGGAACTGTTTATATAACAAAAGTGTAAGTTACTCATTCATTCCTTCATTGCAAAATTCTACCTCTCTTATAAAAACAATGATTTTCAACACACAATTTATGCCTACTTGTAGCAGAAAAGTTTTTAGTAATTATTTATTGATTGTTTCAACTTTTCATCTGCTCAGTCTAAAAAGGTTTCTTTATAAAACCCTTGAGGGGCTTAAACAACCATTCAAGTTTTTCTTCTTGCATAAATTACACCCACATTTCACACTGCAGACCTAGGACTCAGTAAGAAGTTGCTATGTGGTCTTTTTTGATGTTTTAACTCATTCCACCACAACTGTTATATTACTGACAAAAAAGAAAGTCAAAAGCAGCACATGGTGCACTGTGACTTTCTGGGGAAACGGGGAAAAAATCTATTTTGCAGATAAAACCAGACAATTTTGCAGGCCATCATGTTACATTGATTTGACTTTGCAGTTTATATTTTGCACTGAAGAAAGGAGCAAACCTCCTTTTCAGACTGATGGACATTGTTTTCCTGCACTAATAACTGTGTGAACGTCACCTCCCATTTCAAAAAGAGGCAGCATTTGGATACCGAGTGTAATTTATGATGGTACTTGGTACCCCTGACATGAAAGAGGCCTTAAGCATTTCAGTAAAATTTAAGCCACTAAAGAACAGAACATCCTACTTTTACAGGAAAAAATCTGTATTTTTGAAAGAAAAGGCATGAACCTGTCTTCACATTTGAAACCAGCAATCTGACTGAGATACTTTCATCGGAACAAATTATTCTCCATTATTATTGCAGCCCAAGACCTTACATCAAAATCCAGCATACCTCTGTAACGGCACAATTGATTGAAAAATGTTTTGTATACAGCTAGAGTGAAAAAGCCAAGGCTATCCTACAGATTTTTTTTTTTTAAATACAGCACAATGGTCTAGTAAGATGTTTTGATGAATTCATCGTTATGCAGATTCTAGTTCTTTAACTGGCTTCTTTCAACTAAATTGTTCTTGACTTCATTATATCATTCCTAGCGATATATACTCCAAATTATTAAGTCTGAAGTGGAGTACCTTAGACATTGACCCTTCAAGAAAATTCCTTAGTGCAACTTTGTGGGCTTCATTCATTGCATTCACTAACCAGCAGAGCATCTTCAACCACCCAGCCTCCAACGCACCTCCCCACTCATAAACTACCAAACCACTGCTCGGGGCCAGAACTGCCATATCTAACTTCAGTCTCTTTTAGTTTGAGATGTCTTCAAGCCAAAAGGTGACTTAGTAATATTGGGGTTAAATAGATTTTCACAGAAAAAGCCATCTGGGCAAGTTAGGCTGGCAGCAGCTGAAAGTGGCTCTTCAGAGAAGGCGCAGATGAGCACCCGTGTTGCTCTAGATGCGACTGCACCATCCTGTTTCTAGTGGTTTGTTTCAGGTACGTTTAAGCTGAGTAGATGTCAATTCTTCTTCTGAGTTGTCGTATTCGGGCTGCAACCCCATGTTCTCAAAAGCAAAACAAGAAAACCAAATCCATATACCAAACCAAGCTGAAGATACAGAGGAGAATGCACAAAGATTTCTGAGTTTTTGCCCAACTATAGTGATTCTTTGGAAAACTTGCATACTTTTTTTTCCCCCACAGAAGATGAAGTGTGTGTTTCCAAGTCAGAGACTAAATAAGTTGCACCTAATTTTTTTTTTTCTTTTTAAATTAACATTATCTATCCAAGTATTCAAACTCAGCAATAAAACCAGAAATACTATAGCCTCTCTAAGATCTGTGATCAAGTAAGTCCTGGAATTATTGTGCTTACATAAAATATAATTTCTTTTCAAACAAACTGGGTCAAGGCAATTTACATGCAATGTATACTGATAATCACATACACCTCAGCTTTTAAACCAATTTCCAAAGATTAAAGGTTTAATTCTGGTATTTTCAATAACACTACAGTAGAACTTGTCTAATTTGAAATTATGCCTGAGAGAATGTAGATTTCTGTATTTCACAATATTAACAAAAAATAAAAAATATTAACAAAAAAAAAAAAAAAAAAACCCCAAAACCTCCCCCCCCTTGCCCCCCCAAATCGGCATCATTTTATGTTTTGTTTTGTTTTGTTTTTTTTTTTCCCCCTGGGATACATTAGTAATCATAACGCATTACGCTTTGTGGAAATAGAAGACCTTGCCAAAACCTTGCTACTACTGAATCCTTCCTAAGAACAGGATGGAAATGGTACATTTCTATTTATCATATTTACTGGCTAGTAGATAGAAGTATATCAGTAGAAGTATATACCCCAACCTAGAATCCTGCTAACATCTGAAATACATACCAATAGAATATAATAACCTATTCCCACAGAAAACTTAAAAAACTTATATATGCTGTTGCTTTTTTATCTGAGGATAAAGCCCTCAGATAACCTGATGTTAATGAGCCTGATAGAGTGCTTCAGCTCTTAAAAAATGCAGACAGTACTGCATTGCAGCTATTTTATTACTCACCATGTATGGTTCCCAGTTGAATATTCCATTTACCCTTAAAAGGAGTGCTAAATTTTTAATTATATAAATTGAAACACTACATATAATATCTATATCATATGCTGTTAAGGCTGTATCACAGTTTTCTTGTGTGGCTAAAATCATTGTTTGTTCTGAAACAATAAATCTTCTGAAGATGGCAAACCTGCTTGTAAATTTAATTACTTGTAATTTTATTTTCCTCTATGGTTTAACCTCCCTCTGTGTCTGACCAGCGATATCATAAATCTATACTGTCATTCTCTACTTTGTAAAATACTGAGTACTGAGAATGAGTAATGCATCTTGACTTTTAAAGGAAAAGGCAGAAATACTGAGTCAAACTAAATATTGAATACTTATCACTCTGTTTACGCCAGTTCATAAAAACAGTTCAGAAAGTGGCTATTCCATGATCAGCATCCTTAATAATTACTTAAATATATCTGACACAAATAAAGTAAGCCTTGCCTAGTACTTCTTTCTTACTGGAAAACAACAGTTTTAACATTAGCTAACTATATTCTGTATGAAATCCCCCATGCCCGTACAGGGTAGCAAACAATCATAGATAATGAGACCACAGGGCATTCAAAGAAATAAACTGCATAAGAAGTTCTTTGAATTATTTGACTGGAAATCAAATATATGAATTTGGATGTGGGGATTTTCACTTGGAATACAATGGTGGTGAAAAAAAAAAAAATTTAGAATAGGATAGGATAGTCCAGTTGGAAGGGACCTACAATGATCATCTAGTCCAACCAGAAGATTTTTGTGGAACAAGTAACATCTTTTTTTAATGACTTTGATAAGTATCCATTAGATATTCATCCCAAAATAATAAAACTAACTAAAAAATTCATTTATGAATATCAAGCGGTCCTCTTCTTTTCAGCTGTTTTCATTACGATTTGCTTTTTCCTCAGTACTATTCAGTATTCCTACAACACACCTGTACCTGAGCACACCTTAAAAAGTACAGAAATTTAGGTGGCAGGGAGAAGACAGACACTACTTGTTCACTGAGGAGCTCTTTTCAGAGTGAGTCTGTGAAACCTGCTCCAGCACAGGCTACTCGCTGGATTCTGGACTTCATTAAGATGTCTGTGCATGGCCCGGGACACTTCTCCAGCCACAGTCACCTTAATAAGGGCATGCCATCTAAAATCTTGAACCTATTCCAGAGCAAGACTGAGGTTTGCAAGAGCTACTATGTATTCCCCTGTGTGGTGGGTTGACCCTGGCTGGATGCCAGGTGCCCACCAAAGCTGCTCTATCACTCCCCTTCTCAACTGGACAGGGGAGAGAAAATAAAACTAAAAGCTCGTGGGTCACGATAAGGACAGGGAGACCACTCAGCAATTACCGTCACGGGCAAAACAGACTTGACTTGGGGAAAATCAGTTTAATTTATGGCCAATCAAAACTGAGTAGGGTAACGAGAAATAAAATCAAATCTTAAAACACCTTCCCCCCAACCCCTCCCTTCTTCCCGGGCTCAACTTCACTCCCAATCTCTCTACCTCCTCCCCCCCAAGTGGTGCAGGGGGACAGGGAACAGGGGTTGCAGTCAGTTCATCACATGTCATCTCTGCCGTTCCTTCTTCCTCAGGGGGAGGACTCCTCACACTCTTCCCCAGTGTGGGGTCCCTCCCACAGGAGACAGTCCTCCATGAGCTTCTCCAACGTGGGTCCTTCCCATGGACTACAGTTCTTCATGAACTGCTCCAGTGTGGGTCCCTTCCACAGGGTGCAGTCCTTCAGGAGAAGCCTGCTCCAGCGTGGGTCCCCCATGGGGTCACAAGTCCTGCCAGCAAACCTGCTCCAGCGTGGGCTCCTCTCTCTTCATGGGTCCACAGGTCCTGCCAGGAGCCTGCTCCAGCACGGGCTTCCCATGGGGTCACAGCCTCCTTCAGGCACA